AAAAGCAAAAAAGGGGCTAAGCAATTTAGTACTACCCGACTGTGGAGGGGGCAAAGAGGGAGGGAAAGTGGATCCGTAGGTTGACTCCTCGGTTTGTATGGTGTTATCTTCTAACCGCAAATTTGACATTTTGATATAGCCTTTCGTAGTGGTATGAAGATTTTGTTGAAAAATGGTATCATGCTTAATGTACACTGATGATGAAGCAAAATTTGACGTTCTCAAGAAAGGTTGTGATAGCTTTTATGCCTAATTATTCAGTTAGTTTATTTTTTTAGGTAAAGTGATCGTGCATGCTCTTGAGGAGAAGGCTAGAGGATATTTCGATTTGGAGGGTCTTTGGACCGTGAGGACATCTCAAGATGAGGGGGTTCAGGTAATTTTTGAGGTTTACGGTAATGTTAATATTGTTAGATTTATTTTCGGAGTGAAGTTGCAATGTAGGGGAAAAAGGGGTAATTTGGGGAATAGCGATTAGGGATTTAAAATCTGGGTCTGCTGGACTTTGAAGTCATGGTTTAACCAGAAACTAGAGAGGAAAATATCTGAAATCGTTTTGTTTTATATGATATGATCTAGAACTATAAATTATGATGTGGGTATAGGGTCTGCTTCTGATACTTGACGTGCATGTCATACAGTTTGATGATCTGGATCTAGGGGTTATAATATATGATGATATAAAGATGATATTGAAGACTCTCATAATCTAAGTTGAAAAATAACACATAAATAGAAATACATTTTCTTAAATGTATAAAATTTTGAATATTTTTGTATAACGAATAATTGACAAATTGCGTATTGTTAACCAAATATATATATATATATTTGCTACAAATATCATTTTCATTTTACTATCTTGTGCTAACAACATATATATTTGCTACAATTATAATAAGAAGGTAACTGTGGTGTTTGGTTGGCCGAATCACTATTGCAAAGGATCTAAGGGGCCTTGAACTGATCCTTTTAGGACTCTGGATTGACAATATCTGTTGGCCTTTGATATCCCTCATTTTATACAACTTGTCCCAGAGTCTTAATGTTGCTATCCCCTCTTCTAAAACGAAGCGGTCCTCACTTGAGGATGTTTTTTCCCCTAGAAATATCAGTAACTTTGAAGTTGTTGACATGATTTCTTTGGTAAGCTTGTGTTGTCTTTCTATGGGTCTTGACCATAGAGATTTGTTATTGGAATCTTTGGTCACTTTTACATGTACCTCCTTTGCCTTTTGGACCCGTAAGCATTCCTTCTGTTCAAAACATTGTTTTCACCAAGTGTTTCTCAAAGGTTTTTGCTCTCTCTTGGAGTTTGCTACTCTGGGATAAGTTGTCTTTTTCTTTTTTGTCTTTTTGGGTAAGGCGCATGGGTAAGTTAAAGACTTTATTTTGCATACAGATTGGCCAACTATTTTTATTGTTCTCTTTTCTAGTTATCACTCTGTGTAACTTAGCACATTCCATCGCTTTTTCCCAATATTTCTTCTCATTTGTCCCTAATTTTCTGTTATATACCTTTGTTTTTTGGTTCTTCACCTCTGTTCCTCTATTTTCTATTCTCTTCCCTTGAACAAGTTAGTTTTAAGACTTCTTGTCTTATATCAGTTGGTATTAGAGCTAAGCTCTATTGTCATGTTTCTTAAATAAATCCATTGCCCTGAAAAAGTCTACATTTTCATACCCTTCCATGCAAGATAAAACCATCTTTTTGAAAAAAGAAAGAAAGACGTGACAGACAAAAACTGAAGCAGCTAAATGGCTCTGCAGCAGGGGGTGGCTAATACTGCCTCCATGATTAGACTTAGGGATGTTTGAGTGGCTTATAACTTAATTTATAGCAGCTGAAATCACTAGAAAATGCATCAGTTGCTGCTAGATTCTTGTATCATCATTGCCATGATAAATCTATGCCTTCCAAGCAGCCATGGAGAACATAGACCATTGATTTACAGCCACCATTTCTGAAAGTCTCTTATGCCACGAGCCTAACCATTTCTTGGCCCGAAATTGGTGGCTTTATCTCACATATATGGGACTGCGACTGTAGTCCAAATCCTGCTCTATTGTTGATCTCTTCACATCTTCACTAGATTGGTTTAGGTCCTTTTGGGCAAATATTTCATAGGTTTAGATTGCTTCCTAAGGTTTTGAAGGATTTTTTTGCTGTTTTTGAGGTCCCCTTTGTCATGCTGACACCCTATATTCACTTTCAGAGCAGATAAAATACTTTGACATGGAGTCCAATCAACTTTTTGTTTCAGTTCATCCTATAATCTACCGAATTATATAAGATGCTTTGGAATCATTGCATCTGTGGTAATTGTTGTTAGCAGAATATTCAGTGCGAAGTGGACTTGTTCTTGAAAGTTAAGAGATTATGGGATGCTTTCCAAGAATACAAAATTGAGCTTAAGTGTGCAACTAGTCTTGTTAGAGGATGAGAAGCTTTGGGTATTTCAAATCACCCTTTGTTGTATAAGTAGTTGTTCCCTACCATATTTCGTTCTTGCAGTGGTTTTATTCTATGTCATGCTTTTCATTGTAACTGTTCTAATCCATGGCAAGCACATTGGGCACATTTCTTGTGATGATTTCATTTTACCTTGTCGGTTTCGTGATCCTTTAGAATCTAAAGTTTTAATTAACTTTAAATTTCTTCATGGAGATGATCACAAGTCTTGACTTCTCGAAGATTTGAGAAATCATGTCAGAGCCTTTTTAATCCTGATATTTTGCGACTTAAAAACTCGAGATTGAGTTTTTAAGTAAGTGAGGTAGAATGATGCAAAATAAGATCCTAATATTAAATAAATTTTTGTCTTAAAGAAGTCTCTTGTAATTGCTATTATTTTCATTCTTTAAATATATTAAGTATAATATATTCAAGAACACCGAGTGTAAACCCGTATATAGAAGTATTTACAAATCTCGCAAGATATTAGTTAGATCTCCAAAGTTCTCGCTAGAATATAGTGAATGACTCCTTAACAAAAAATTCAGATCTGAAAAAAAAAAATCCCCGAACCTATGAAAATTACATTGTTTCCCCTTAAGCTCTTCAAGTCTCTATTTGCAATAGTCCAAAAG